TATCGAAGCATGCCGGCAGCGGATGGGGGCCTAAGCTCCTTGCGCTGTGATTGGTTATTAAGAAATATCTTTTTTAAAGATTTTAAGATTAAATTCTAATTTTGGGATTTAGCGTGTATGGAAATATCTGTGTATATAGTTTAAATTATGTTAGATCAGTGCTGTAATCATTTATATAATAGCTATTAATTTTAACCTCGTAAGGCTTGGGCTTGCCAAAAAATATGTTTAGATAATTACCGACCCATGTTCTTAAAAAAGGACAATATGTATAAATTGCTTTCCGCCCAGAGATGAAGGTGGAAAAAATAACAAGTTGCAAATTCTCTACAGCCGTATTTTTTCACAGTGATGTGGTACAGATATAGATGACTTTTAAACTACCTAAATGTAGTTTTATTACGTTCTTTTTATAGGACATCGGGCAGTACTTGCATTATTAGCAATTATACATTTAAAGAAAAAGTGCGAGGGAGATGGATATTATTCCATCTCGCTTCCTTATAGCCGCCAAGGCCGTCTACACTACGTCAGATGGGGTCATGGCGGAAAAATCTTACGCTTTTTGTCACCTAGCCCCCATCCGCCAAATCCGTACCATCCGTAAAATAAAGAACTTCGTTCCAAAAATCACAAATTACGACAAAAGAAATATGAATTTAAAAGACTTTGTAGAGAAATAAATATTTGTCTTAAAAGTTTATTATTTCGTTATTTATGTGGCATAAAATAATACTGTTCTATTGTAAGATTTCAAAAATAAAATAAGATAATACTTAACACAGCTTCGCGAACATCTTGCACCCGACACCTTTGACGAAAATATAACTGCTTACAGTCACTTGTCAATGTCAAAATGCTAAATTATCAAAATTTTGGATACGCTTTTCAATCCTCAGATGAATAACGAAAGGAAGTAGCGCGAATTTTTAATCTAAACAGTAATATTGAATAAGGGTTAAAAATCGCACTGGCTCGTAAATTAAATTTTTTTCTTCATGTTCATGGGCGGTAATAAGATTCAAAAAAAAAGTAGTAATAATATCATTGTTTTTAATAAATAACAATTGAAAAAGTTAAAAAAACTTTTTTTAAATTCTCCAAAATAATAATTTAAAGTTTCGTGATGTGATATTGTATTTGTTGTATTGTGGCTCAGGACCGTGCTTTGTGGCATTCCTTGGGGGAGGCCTATGTTCAGCAGTGGACTTGTGAAGGGCTGTGATGATGATGATGATGATGTGATATTGCCAGAAAATGTAAACTAGATAGACGATTATCATTCGCAATGTTATAATCATTTCTCAGCTTTGATGAAGCATCATGTTCATAAAATTTTCAGCACACATTCTGAACCATCTACACCTTCAACAGTAACAAATAAACAATTTTTAATTACTTTTTAGGTGTTAAATAAGTTACCAAGTTATTGTTTACAATACAATAACTATTAGTTTTTCTTTTCTTTTTCAATGTGATTCATTGAATACTAAAGATTAAAGAGAACAACTAATTACAGTGGATGAAATACTATCAGCGCCAGTAATTAAGGAAATGTTGAAATTTGAATGGAAAATCCTGAAATCTGTGCTTCATTGGAGAATCCGTGCTTCATTGGAAGATCATGAGCAATTGGGAAATGAAGATGTAACTGTAACCAATAATAATTTTTTTTTTTAAATGTTGTAATTATGGAATTATGTAATGATTTATCATGTGACGATCACGAGGAATTGATACGAAAATTGCACACCAAGTTTGTAAAATTGATAATGATGCTGCAACAAACATTTTAATAAAATCTTGCGATACAGATGTTCTTATTATTATGTTCGGTAATATGGATCATTTGGAGTGTGATAATTTGTCAATATTTATGGGAAATGGAAAAAACAATAAAAACCGGTTAATTAATATATCCCACTTGTTAACTGAACTAGGACCAAGAAAGTGCTCATGTTTACCTGGCTGTCAGCCATGACAGGATGCGATTATAACCCTTCTTTCTTCAAGAAAGGAAAGAAGAGGCCATTCCAAATTTTGAAAGGAAATGAGGATTACCAAAAAGCATTTACAGATCTCGTATCTGCTCATATAACTGGCCTAAGATATGAGGTGTTTTTGGTATTAGAGAAATTTGTTTGCGAAATGTATGGTTTTAAAAATTTAACAGATATTAATACTGCTAGATTTGAAAAAAATTGTTCGACTTTCAAAGCAAATAACCCCGATGGACGATTTGAAAAACGATTCAGAAACTACGATGCATCAAATCTACCACCATGTAAAGCAAAATTACAACAACAACTCCTACGTACTCAATACATTACCAGCATTTGGCGAAATGCTCATTTACGTTTCCCAACTACTTTGGCACCAACTAGAAATGGATGGGACCTTCAAGATTAAAAGTTTGAATTTTGCTGGTTTGAAAGTCTTCTGTTATGGATTCTTTAAAAGAAGCAAACGAAAACTACAACTAAATACAAGTAAATGTCATTTTATTTCATATAAGTATTTTATTTAATATATATTAATCAAATATTATTTTTCAGCAATTTCAGAAGATATCGACGAAAATACTACAGAGGTGGATATTGGAGATGATCTGTTTGAAGCTGAAGATGGTCCCTTCAGCAGTGAAGAGGATTTCTTAGACAGTGAATCTTCAGAGAGCAGTGAAGAAGAGGAGGAAAATGAATAAAATAATAAATCTTTATAAATTTCCTTTAATATTCTAATTTAAACAAAATTATTAATGTTATAAAAATTGGACATAAAAGTATTATTGAATGATTTAATCCGTTAACCTAAAAATTATTGTTCCTGTCAAGGTAAAAAAATAATTATTGACCATGGCCTAGTTTCTGATTTATTCAGTTTTAATAGTAATCAATAAGAAATTATTGACTTGAATCAAATTTATGGATGTATGGATGTTTGCTACTCTACCACTCAAAAACTACCGAATGTATTTTAATGAAACTTTCCACTAATATAACTCATACATAACTACATTTAGGTAGTTCAAAAGAAATCTATCACCCTGAAAAAAGTTACGGCTGTAGAGAACGTGCAACTTGTTATTTTTTCCACCTTTATCTTTGGGCGGTAAGCACTTTATACATATTGTCCTTTTTTAAGAACATGAACAAGAACATTTTTATGAACAGGTTAAAATTAATAGCTATTATACAAATTATTACAGCACCGATCTAAAATAATTCAAACTATATACACAGTTATTTACATGATCATTTATGCGCATATATATATGCTAAATCCTAAAACAAGAATTTAATGTTAAAACCTTTAAAAAGATATTTCTTTTCTATTTGCCGGCATGCTTCGATAAGCTATCTTTCTCGCACTTATGGCTACGCATAAGACTTTTTTGCCGTATTCATTTGTAAACTTTATTAACGTCTGGGAATTGTTTGAAACCGCTAAATTCGTTTGGCGATTTGCAGGTGTTATTAAACATTACTCAAGAAATACGTGATTAAAATTTGAAATTGCCAAAAGTGTATTTTTGGGAATTAAAAAATATATTTTTAGAGGTCTGGTAATCTTTATAACCGACAAAAACGTCTGGGATTATTTTTTTTTGAATTATATAAAAACTAAATTGACAGATAAAAAAGAAATCAAGTTGCCAAAAAACAATTTCAACTTGCCAAAAGGACCTTCCCAAAATTCGTTGGCAGCTCTCAGACTATAAGGGTATACTTTCCAGGTGGTCCCATTAAAATTTTATCGAAATCGGTCGAGCGGTTTTAAAAAAAATCAACAATAAATTATATTAATATTGAAGTGAGTTGTACAAAATTTTTAATTTTACATGGCATTGTTAAATGGGGATTTTTAATAAAAGGAGATTGTCGGTGTGGTTTCAATTTATTAAAGTAAGAAATCTAGTATAACCATAGACTGTGGAGTCAATCTATCTTAGTCTCGGACTCATAGGTGACAACGAATCTGAAGTTTTCTTAGTTTCAAGTTGATATCATTTGTCTGTGGGCTGCAGCATACACTTAAAGTTAGGTTTATCTTTGCATAGCCTATTAATAGCACAGTCTCGTAAATAGTGATATCTTAAGATTTACTAGACTGCGTTAATAGTTAGTAGCAAGTCTTATCTCCATCAAGCCAATTTTCAGACTTGGGTAAAGTCTTTAAAAGCAAATGCGGGAGGTCTTTTCTCCATACAAACGCTCTCGTCTACTTTCTTTCCAGTTTATCACCTTATGACAATGAGTTCTTACAGTAAAATAATTTAAAATTAAAAAATTTTGTACAATCGAGTTCAATATATATTATTAAGGATAACTCAAAAACTGTTGGTCAGACCTTGATCAAACTTACATGGGATCACATGAGAAGCACCAGCTTTCAAATAAAAAGAATCATTGAAATCGGTTCACGTAAAACAAAGTTATGAGGTAACACACATAAAAACATACAGTCGAATTGAGTATCTCCTCCTTATTGAAGTCGGTAAATAAATATCAACCTCTTCTATGTCCCTATGTTTTCCTTTTTAATGGTCCATTATCTTTATAAGCACTAGAACCCTTGCAATATGCTCAAAATAACCTATTTAGAGTTTAGACCGCTGCGCTGTCAACAGAAGCTTAGTGTTCAAATTTGACACATTGTATAATATAATATCCTTCTTGTTCAGTTTATGAAATATCTTTTAAATTGGTGCAATATTGGAGGAGGAAACGGTAGATAGCCAAACCTCGAATTATGCCTTTTTACTATTCAGTTGGATCTGCAATTGTCCTTATAGGATGCCGAGCGTAAGCAGAGCGACCACGATGGTTTCTTCAAATACCTAATTTTCAAGTCTCTCGCCCCACATTTCCTCCTCTTAAGGTAGGAAAGCTGGGGTAAACACCCACCTTTTTAATAAATATAAAAAATGTGTGTGAATAAGTACCTACCAACGTTTCACATTTTACACCAAAATAAACGACGAATAACAAATCTTTCATTTAGTCTTCCCTGGGCGCTATCTTTTTAAAAGTGGCCAGCTGTACTGCGAGTTGATGCAGTATGGTCTTCCCAGCCGGTCCTTCTTCAGCAGGCTGTGCTCTGGACAAGCGCACCACGCGACCGCACTCGCGGATAAAGTACTCCAGCTCGTTTTCTAGCTGCCGCCCATCACCTGGGAAGCAAACGATGATGGACTGGACGATGTCGACCACTGCAACAAGTTCTGACGAAACCGATTCTTCATTTCACTTCATCAGTCTATAAGTCACATGGGTGTCTTCCGTTATTGGGAGGGTTATCTTAATCGTCACGCTTGGCTGGCGGATTGATAAACCCAATACCGTTAAACTAAAATCTTTGCCGCTGCAGAATCTGAATTAATTGAAAGCTATCAACGTGGTATCAACGTTTTTCAACGTGGTAGAGCCATGCTGCAGCTATATCATGGTTGTGACACGAATGGATCGGCTCGACCGGGGTAGGATCGCGCTCTCACAGAATACCAGCGTAAAATAACAGCTTATCGCTGCTGTGTTTCGTATGGTGAGTGTAGAGAACCGCAGATCATTTTTACTGGAAACGAGGCATTCCATCTCGGTCCTCACGGGTGACAACGTATCTGCATTTTGATACGTAATCGAGGATAGATGTAGATGTCTATGGGCCACAGCAACCACTTACCATCAGGTGGACTGTGTGCTCGTTTGTCACCCTTATCCTATAAAAAATGAAGATGCTGCTGCCCATCTCCTAATTCATATCCCTCTGTTACCTTTTACGAAACCCAACAGATGATATGAGGTAGTGGAATCGCTTACGCCATCACAACACGGCGCCGATAATAGTTGACAAAATAATAATGTAAACACTAACACAAAGGCAACCAACTCGTCTAAAGATAATATGTAAAGTGCGCGACAGAGACACGCTACCGTGTATTATACTGCAGGATTAATTTTTAAAGGATAAGGGTGACAAACGAGCACACAGTCCACAGGGTGGTAAGTGGTTGCTGTGGCCCATAGACATTTACATTTATCCTCTACTAGCTGTTCTCTGCGACTTCGCCCGCGTGGAGTTATTTTTCGTGGAACCCTAAAATAAAAGCAGCCCAAGTTACTCCTTATAACATCAGCTATCTGCCAGTGTGTACAAATATTGACAAATATTGAGATTAATATTTATACGATACTAACGTCACTCAATTGTTTTGCCTTCCCGGAACTCCTCCACTAACACTTAAACTTTATGATATGGTATTAAAGTTTAAATTGACTTTTAAGTATTATTACGAATCTTTTTTATGAGAACATAGAAAAGTGTTGTTTTTAGACTTTTTCAGGCAATTTTTAAAATTTTCTCTCCGTAAGAACCTAAAATATTATAAAAAAAGAATTAGCGAAATCGGTTCAGTTGCTCTCGAGATTTGCGCTTAGCAACACATTCAGCGATTCATTTTTATATTATAGATTACAAATCAAAATGCAGATGCGTTGTCACCCGTGAGGACTAAGATGGAATGTCTCATTTTCAGTAGAAAGGGTCTCCGGTTCTCTACACTCACCGTACGAAACACAGCAGTGTTAAGCTGCTATTTTACGCTGGTATTCTGTGAGAGCGTGGTCCTTCCCCGGTTGAGCCGACCCAACCGCGCTACAACTATACTACTAATATAGGTGCAGCATGGCTGTACCACGTAGCATGAATAATATGTCGGCCCGACTGGGCAAGGCCCACGCTCCCACGGAATACCACCGTGAAATAGCATAAGGGTGCTGCTGTGTTTCGTGTATTGAGTGATAAGAACTGACGGAGACCCACAAAGCATTGCATATTCGTTTTCACGGGGGACAACGAGTCTGTAGTTTGATGACCGGCTATACTATTCACTTACCATCAGGTGGACTGTGTCCTCGTTTGTTACTTTTATGTCTACATCTATTTTCAGTTAGAATGCAGTTTCAGAGACAATTTTAGTTATCGCATTACAACCAATGAGGATATAATCCACTATGTTTAATTACAACCAGAACATAAATTAACAATTGATGATCTGGTGAGATTGGCGAAGAATTAGGATGAGTAAGAAGACCGATTAATGGCGGGAAATTCGTTAATTTAAAAAAAATAAGCCCCTAGTAAGCTTGAAAGTGATCTTAAGAGTGATCCATGACTGTACTAGAATGGCGGTTTCGAACCCACGTACTTTTGGGTTCGCGGTCCGCACACTGGCATTAGGCTACTGTCGCTTAAATTATTATTATTTGTTTATTTATTTAAATATACTAAATCAGATTTCTATAGACTGCTGATGTGCACGCAACAAACTGCGTGCCCTACATGTTGGGTATTTTTTATTTTTTTTATTTATTTTTGCTTTTTAAAAAACGTTACCCCCACACTAGGATTTTCTCCTGTATCGTGGAGGCAGTTTACAAACACAAATTTCACAAGGACAAACATCCAGACCCGGAACAATCATTTGTAGGCCATACAAATACTTGTTCCGTGCGGGATTCGAACCCGCGCCCCCCAGCGCAGCAACTCATTGCTAAGCCACTGCGCCACGGAGCCGTCAAATAGGTATAATTAAAACTTAAAAAATATACATCATTTGGCTCATTTTTACGAATAGGTAATATGCAGAAATAAGAAAATAACCGGCAAAGTGCGAGTCGGACTCGCCCAAAAAGGGTTCCGTACTTCTAGTACCCCCTTTTATTATTTTTTATTTTTTATATTTTGTTGTTATAATTTCAACTGTCTACCTATTACGAATTATGAGATACAGTCCGCTGACAGACAGACGGATGCACGGATGTACTAACAGACGGACGGACGGACAGCGGAAGCTTAGTAATAAGGTCCCGTTTTTAAGGTTCCGGACCCAAAGGGTACGGAACCCTAAAAATAACTAAGTTTTCTTAAGTCACCTCCATAAAGCTTCAATAAATATCTAAGTATATACGAGTACCTTGTCCCATTCTTGTAAAAGCTGGCTGCAAGCATTTGTTGGCTAATCTAGCAAGTTGAGAGCGCTCTGAACTGAATGCTTCGTCTAGGTCGAAGAGCTCCAGTGGAGGAGGAGGTGGTTCGCGGAACGTTGGCGGGAAAACCTTGAAACAAATAATATTTTTTTATAGGATAAGGGTAACAGACGAGCACACAGTCCACCTGATGGTAAGTGATGGCTGTGGCCCATTCGTGAGGACTAAGAGGGAATGCCTCATTTCCAGTAAAAAGAGTCTCAGGTTCTCCACACTCACCATACGATACACAGCAGCATCAAGCTGCCATTTTACGCTGGTATTCTGTGAGAGCGTGGTCCTTCCCCGATCGAGCCGACCCATTCGTGCTACAACTATACTACTAATATAGATGCAGCATGGCTCTACTGGCAAATGAATTGAGCCTGAAAGAAAACCTGATAAGAAGTGCCACCATGAGCTGAAGCTCATGGGCACCTACGACTAGCTTCAATCAATGCCTCACAGCCTGTAATTATACTGGCTATAGAGCCAGTATAATTACAGGCCTTCAGACCGGATATCAGCACAGCTGTTTGGCGTCAGGAATAGGTGAGAGGAAAGAGGTTGATACCTACCAGGAAGGACTGCTGGGAAGAACAGGAATTCTAACACCCAGTAAATTAAGTAAAGTGAAATATCAGTGGCTAAGTCTTGCCAGTGCGATGCCGAAACATGCTAAAAATTAATTAGACATACTTCTCAATCACTAATTATTATTTCCCAAAAATAATCGTAATATTCATAAAAACTTAAATGTCATTATTGCACGGTTGACTAGGCTTACATTTTAACATGATTTTATCATTCTAACAGAATGCTGGCTAACAACCATCGCCGACTATAGATAATTACTCATGTTTTTTCTCTAAAAAAGACTCAACCAAAACGATGGTATTGTAATAAAATGTATGGTAGATTCCTCTTTGGTTCCCCAGACCCAATAGATGCAAACTTTTTACTTCTTTCAATTGGCAATAACATTGTTATCTTGGCCGTATACAGGTCACCCTCTATTTATTGTATAGATAATTTTTTGAACTCTGTCGACAGTCTACTACCGCGTAAAAGTAAAACTGTTGTCCTGGTTGGAGATATTAACTTAGACATTAAGCAAAATAGTATCGATAGAAACAGGTAATCATACTTAAATCCTACCTAGTCCCAACTGGGACTTCTACTAGGTCATACGTTAGCGACTAGAATAAATAGTTGTCTGGGCCATGTAATGATAAAAACCCCTTTATCAGCAATAATTACTGTGATAGAGTCAACGGTAATAGACCATGATTCAGTTCTTCTATGTTTACCCTATAAACCGAAGCAATTAAAGCGCAATCAAATTACAAAAACCTTACTTTGCGGCTACTATTAAGCAATTAGAATCAACAGATTTCTCTTTCATCTGCCGTACAGCTGCCGCCGAAACGGCAGCAACTCTCCTTGTTGATAAGTTATCAACTGCAATAAAATCTAACTCCACGCGTATTACAGTATTTGGGCGTAAAAAAATACTAAAGCCATGGATAACCCCCGGATTACTCCGATGTGTCCACCACCGGGACAAGTTACATAAAAATTTGAAGAAAGGTCCAAATAATCCAATAATTGCTATAACTTATAAACGTTACAGAAACTTCTGTAACGCGTTGCTGAGGAGACTGAAACGAACTTACGAAAAATCTTTATTAAAAAAATGCAAGAACTGGTAAAGAAACGTGGATAGCTATTAAATCCATTACGAGCTCTAATGAACGGAAAGCCTCTGCAGAAAATCTGCTAAATATTCAGGCTAACCCCTATGATGCTATTGAGGATATTAACTTTGCAAACGTCGGAAAACTACTAGCGGACAACATTATTGCACAATCTTTCAGCGCTTCCGGAGACAGCACAAAACAATATAAAATATCAACAGAAATTCGATGGCTCTGCTCCCACCAGATGAAAGAGAAATTAAGGTCTTGATCATGAATATTAAAAATGATAGTGCTACTGGCTGGGACTCTATATCAAATAAGTTCTTTAAGCTGATAAAATACATCATAGTCCCGGTCTTTACCATCATCGTAAAATCATGTTTTGAGCAAGGCGTATTTCCCATAGTTTTTAAAAGAGTTCTCATTACACCTGTCCACAAGAGTAGGGCACGAGACAGTGTAACAAATTATATATCAATTTCTGTGCTACCAGCACTATCTAAAGTGTCAGAAGAAACATGAACAACCAACTGTTACAATTCTTGGAACGAGATAACATTCTTTCAGACTCTCTGCACAAAGTGCACACAGAGCCGTCAGTTCTAGTATGTTACAGAAAGTCTCGATAACAAACAAAAATGTGTTTATTGATCTTACCAAAGCATTTGACACTGTCTAGATCCCTATTCTTGTGGGCAAGTTAGAAAGATATGATTTTCGGGGGACGGTGCTTAAGTGCAACAAGTTAAAATAAGCAAGCACATCAGTTCAGACATAGATGTTAACTGTGGGGTCCCACAAGGCAATGTGCTCGCTCCCAGTCTCTTTCTTATATAAACCCTCAGTTTTGGCGACGCGCTTTAAAAATAGTTTATCATTTTTCATTTCATAAAATAATAAATAATTTTGTGTTTTCAAGTTATTGCAATTAAATTACATAAGGCACGGTGGAATTACGAATAAGGAGATAAGCTATATTAAAAGTATTCAATATAATGTCGAATGAAAGTTCGGGGATCGATTCCCTAGACTTTGAGGTCAGCGTGAGCAAATATAGGGCCCGCGTAAGACATGACTGGTCGTATACAGACCTTATAAAAGGTTCGCTTGTTTTGGAGGGACATTTTACTGTGTCGGCCCAGCATACTGTTGAGCCTACTCAGATAAAAACGTGCGTGACGGGTTACTCTTTTGACATGGGGCCCAAAGGTGAGCCTCGTGTCAAGGATGACGCCTAAATATTTGGCAGACGTATGCCAGGGGACAGGGGTCCTTAGCATAGGTATTGGTGGAGTGTTTTTGAGGCGGCGTCGTTTATAATCGAAGTGAACGGCGGAGCTCTTCTCCGGGTTCACATCAATGCGCCATTTTTGGAACCAAGCTCCTAGGTCATCAAATGACTTTTGGATCTTGTCCCGTATGAAAGGTAGCGAGATACCTTTACAAAAGAGGGAGAGCTGTACACCTTTCGACGGAATGGGAATGTCGTTGGTGAACAGGATGTACAGTAGAGGAGTAAGTACTGAGCCCTGAGGGACCCTGAGAGAGCGTGCCTTTGTGTCTTAAACGAAAGGTACGATCCTTCAGGTAAGAGGCCACGAGATGTACAAGACGATCAGGGAGACTTATTTTGTATAGTTTGTAGATAAGGCCTTCATGCTAGACTCTATCAAAAGCTTTTGCAATGTCGAAAAAGACCGCGATGGTCTTATGACGTCGAGGATAAAAACTGCTGAGGATATATTCCACAATACGATAAACTTGTTGGGGACAAGAATGTTTCGCTCGGAAAACAAATTGGTGGGGGATGATAAGAGGGTCACCGTCTGTGGGAAACAGATGGAGCCTCATGCGAGTGAGGACTCTTTTGAAGAGTTTGCCCATGGCCTTGAGGAGGCTGATGGGACGATGATTGGAGGGGAGGTTGAGAGGCTTTCTTGGCTTGGGAATACCAATGACAGTTGCCTCTTTCCACGTAGTGGGAAAGTAACTAAGATTGAAGCAGGCGTTGAAGATAATAGTTAAAAGGGTTAACACCTGCTCAGGAAAGTGTTTAAGGGCTTGGTTGGAGATGCCATCCACGCCCGGAGCCTTTTTGGGCTTAAGTCCTTTGATGAGGGATGAAATCTCATCATTGAACACAGTGATAGGGTCAGAGGCTGTGGGGAATGAGTTCCGGCGGCGGACCTCATCCTCCACTGTTTGGATGTGTGAGAGGTCCGTGGGTTGAGAGCTAGGAGAGCATTGTTGTGCGGCAATGCTGTCTGCAAAGCACTCAGCCTTTTCCTCGTCTTCGAAGGCAACTGTACCGTCGGGACGGGAGAGAGGGGGAGTGTGAGTGATAGCGTCTATGCGGAGGGCTCTTGCCATCTGATAGTACGCTGTATGAGAGGGAGAGATATTTTCCATGAGCTTACTCTTTTCGAGGTCTCGAAGTTCGGAGAGGCGGAAACGGACTTCTCGTTGAAGACGATTGGCCGTACGCCTATATCCGGGGGTAGGATAGATTGCTGCTGTCCGGAAAGCAGCTGTCTTGACTTTCAATAGGTTGCTAATATGTAGGGGAACACCATTATTATTAGCAACCGGGACGACCCTTTCATTCACCTCCTACTGATATGATAGGGGCGTGCAGGGATTGGTTGCTCATGTTGTATAGGATCTAATAGTCTAAATAATGTACTATAAAAATAAAAAATAAACTTTATTAATTTGTGATAATTTCAGTGATATATGTATAAATACGTTATAAATGTTTCAAGATTATTGTGTGTACGAATAAGAACAGTGCTGTGTTAAAAGTGCCTAAATTACTAATAATGATTGTTATTTTGAACATGTGTAATAGATATTTAAGATCTCTAACTTTAAAAATTTTCTGTAAAATAGGTGTATTTTTTTGAATATTTTAATATGTTTTTGTGTGATAACGATGTAATGTACATCATAATATTTTTATTTTATTTTATAGGATAGGGTGACAAACGAGCACACAGTCCACCTGATGCTAAATGGTTGCTGTGGCCCATAGACATCTACATCTATTCTCGTTTGCGAATCAAAATGCAGATGCGTTGTCAGCCGTGAGTACTAAGATAGAATGCCTCTTTACCAGTAAAATGGGTCTCCGGTTCTCTACACTCACCATACGAAACACAGCAGCGATAAGCTGTTATTTTACGCTGGTATTCTGTGAGAGTGTAGTCCTCCCCGGTCGAGCCGACCCATTCGTGCTACAACTATTCTACCAATATATTTGCAGCATGGCTCTACCACGTATAGTGATAAGACTTTGTATGTGTTTCTTATAAGTAAAATTGTGTAACCATATGTTTTATAGAAAAAGCATTTGATTGAAAGTCAAGAAACCTACACCAGCGTTTCAACAAATCCCTACTGCGGGATACCTTGTGAAATCATATAGGTCTATACTTTGTTTGCTGAAATGAGATTTGTTCTCGTGCAAAATATTTAAACATACCGCGAGCTGTAAAGGTGGATAGGGTGTCTCAAACTGCGGCGCGATGAGCCTCAGAGGTTCATGTTTAACTCCTAAGGCGTCATACAATCCGAGGACTTCTGGCACTGGAATAACAAATAAAGATCACAAGACTATATCGTATATTTGTCGGGATCGTGCGAAATGGAAGTCTGTAGAGCCTTTGTCTACCAATATGCAAATATTAAATGACCCCTTATTTCAAGACTAGCGACCCGCCCCAGCTTCGCGTGGGTAGGATCTATTAATGTAGCGTTATTTGGATTTCATTAAAGGACAATTGTTGTTTTTCTTTTTATTTTTTAATGAATAAGGATTCAAGTTTTCAGATAAATTATAGCCTATATCACTCTTGGCATTGCTCTCTACCTGTTCATGAAGTTTCATTACATTCAATTCAGCTGTTCCGAAGATTAGTCGGACGGACCGACAGACAGACAAACAAAAAATTTAAAAATGTTTATTCATGTCTGAACATACAAGGCATTTATTTTGATATTACAGTCAGACATTACAATTTTATTTATATGGTATATATAGATAAAAAAAACATGCGTGAGTGTCGTGGAACACTCGGATGGAACAATGTTCCTTTCGTAGTTTATTATTATTGATACACGTATTATATTATTGATTAACAAATACAACCAAATAAATAATACAAATTAAAAAAATGCACACTATGACACAAGGGGTAGTGACGAAAAAAATCTTACACTTTTTGTCGCCTAGCTCCCATCCACCAAACCCGTACTGTCCGATAAGGAACTTCGTTCTAAAACTCGTGGAACTCTTGACATCACACTAGTGGCGCGTACTATAACTATTGATTCAGTGGGTGCGTGTGTCTGTACGTACGCGATTATTGCGTTTATACTCACATTGCGCCAGGTTAAGCGAGAACAGGCTCCAGGTGAACAGCGCGTGCGGGTGTAGTGGGGCGAGGCGTGGCGGCGGCGCCGTGCCGGGGGTCGGCAGCGGCACCCTGCTGAGGAACATCGCGTCCCCCAGTGTACGGTACTCGTTCACCTGCAGGAAACCACCTCTATTTAATAGGTGGTAGGATTTTTTACTAATTTAAAACAGTGCTTCACTACAGTCCTACCAAGTGGTAAGTTATGATGAAGCCCTAGATGGTAAATCGCACTGTATTAGCGTAACAATTGCCTATTCAAATTTTTTTTATAGGAGAGGGGGCAAACGAGCATGCGGCTCACCTGATGGTAAGTGACCACCGCCGCCCATGAACAACTACAACACCAGGGGAACCAGGGGAATTGCAGTTGTGTTGCCGGCCTTTTAAAAAGGAGTAGGCTCTTTTCTTGAAGGTCCCTAAGTCGTATCGGTCTGGAAAAATCGCTGGTGGTAATCGATTCCACAAGGAAGTTGTGCGAAATTGATTTGATTGAAACAATCTTTTCAATACCGAGCACAAGCACAGAGTAGCCAGCCTCTAGGGATTTTATAGGATACATTTCGGAGAGTGTGCGTAGGATTTATATATATATATATTCCTCCCTCCCCTTAATTTTCACCATCGGACAAATAAGCGGTCAGCGGGTTTTCATCCCATTATTATCGATATTCAATGCACCAAAGGACCAAAGGGTTTGTTTTGCCCTTCGTAGTGGTATATTCTACAGACGTGTTCCTTTTCGTCCAATTACCCTGGTGTTGCTGTTGTTCAAGGGCAGCGGTAGTCACTTACCATCAGGTGAGCCGCATGCTCGTTTGTCCCCTCTCCTATAAAAAAAATTAAAAATCCGGGTTAGCAATAAGCCTCCTGCGTGGCATTTCATCTCAGTCAAAGTCAATGGACTGCAGTAGCTACTATTTTTTTTTAAGAAGTAGGGTTATCAAACGATTATACCACTTGGTTCATACATCTATCTTCGATTAAAAGTTAAAGTTACAGTATATATACGTCCCACTGCTGGGCACTGTCCTGCTCTCATTTCTGAGAGGGTTGGCCTAAGCCAAGGAAATGTCCGCCGTACTGTCCCAATGCGTGTTGGCGAACTTCACATGTCTTTAGAGCACGTGGTTAAACAGTACATAAAATTGCAATTAACAATAAGTGCTAATAATCTTCCACTCACCAGATGTCGCTAGTTGCGACTGAGGTAAAGTTTTTTGTTAGTTTTTTTTTTTTGGTAGTTTATCATTATCTATAGTATAATATTAATACACAACACAATGCGTCAGTGGTTTGATTTGTAATTTTTTGTACATTATATCTTCTTTTTTAAAAAATCGGCTTTTAGTTATATTTATAGTTTGGTTTATTTATTTCTAATGTAATTCATATAAAAATAATTATTAATACAGGAAGAAACCTTAAAGAATACATTTTCCTAAGAAATTATCGTCCCCGCTATGAAATCTGTCAAATATTTTACCTTACTCTAAAGTGGCGCCGCCCTGGTGGCAGAAAAAGTCGTGGATGCCCTCATTTCATTGGTGCCGGCGGGGTTCGAAACCAGATTGCTAGCGTACCGTGAATTTTAGCAACGTGCGCCAAGCGCCTGAGCTAACAGGGTTCTATCTTCGATTCATTACCATCACCATCATTACAGCCCTTCACAATTCCACTAGGTACTGAATATAGGCCTCCCCCAAGGAATGCCACAAAGCACTTTCCCTAGCCACCTGCATCCATTGACTTCCTGCATGTCTTACCAGGTCGTCACTCGATATAGTGAGGGGACGCCCTACACTTCGCCTGCCGGTACGAGGCTGCCACTCGAGTACCTTTTTTCACCATCGGTTGTCGGTTCTTAGAGCTATATGGCCGGTCCATTGCCGCCTTTCTTAAAGAACAAAACCACCTGCAATTCTGCTCCACGCCTCCGGAGTAGTGCAACCATGGAGGACGGAATTAAATAGCTTGAGGGCTTTAAGTACTTCCACCCGGTTTCAGAAGCTCCGCTGTAATTCCTTCCTCGCCCAAAGACTTGCCGTTTTTAAGGTGCTAGAGAGCCATTCTAATGTCGCTCAGACTGACGTCCGGGATATCATCGGAATAGTGCCGAATAAAATCTGCTCTTGGATCGTTACTCACACTTGCGTGTGGCTCCAACGATGACGTGTGCAGCTTATGATAGAACCTCTCAATCTCACTCAAAATCTCAGGTGTCCCGGAAACGATGCTGCCACATTCGGTCTTCAACTTTGTCAGTTGGCTCTGCTGGCGGACAAATCTCTGGCAAAGACTTTGAGAGCCCTGGTTCCGCTCGATCGCTTCTTCAATACGAGCTGTATTGAAGTTGCGCAAGTCCCGCCGCATGCATTTAGAGATCTGTCTGTTCAGTTGCCTGTAAGCTGTCAAATCTACTGAAGACTGCAGCTTCATCTCCAGTCTAACAGCCATGAGATTAAGAATGTCATCGGAAAGTATTTGTGTTCTTCTGCGACGGGTCTTACAGAACTTAGCTCTGACCGCATGGACAGTTTCCACAAGCTTATCATTCATATCTTCGATTAATCGAATCAAAATGCTGATGATGCGTTGTTATATCATAATTTAAAATTAAAAATTTTGTACAACCGACTTCAATATAAATTATTAAGAATTACTCAAAAACTATTAGTCAGACCTTTATCAAAGTTATACCGCACCACATGTGTAGCACCAGCTTTCTAATAAAACAAGAATCATCGAAATCGATTCACCCAGAAAAAAGTTATGAGATAACACACATAAAAAAACATACAGTCAAATTGAGTACCTCCTCCTGTTTGAAGTCGGTAGATAAAGGACTAAGATGAAATTTCTCGTTAAGTTAACCTGGTCTCTAGATCTCTACAATCACTATACGCAACACAGCAGCAACAAACTGTTATTTTACGCTGGTACACTATGCGAGCGTGGTCATTCCCCGGTCTAGCCAACACATTCGTGTTGAAGACATAAAACATCTGCAGCGTGTATTTAACGCATAACTATCAGGTGGACAGTAAGCTCGTTTATGCCTTTTAAATTATAAAAAATATTGTTTACTTGATTTTTATTTAATACGGCAACACTGCAAGTTAAGTCGGTGCGAAACTTAAGTCGTCGTTCCCCCCAATATAACAAAGACATTTCAGCTGATTAATGGGAATACCAGATGTACAACCAGAATGGCGACGGGAGGCATCATCATCATTACAGTTCATCATAAGTCCACTGCTGAACATAGGCCTCCCCCAAGGAATGCCACAAAGCACGGTATTGAGATATTTTACCTTACTCTAAAGTGGCGCCGCCCTGGTGGCAGAAAAAGTCGTGGATGCCCTCATTTCATTGGTGCCGGCGGGGTTCGAAACCAGATTGCTAGCGTACCGTGAATTTTAGCAACGTGCGCCAAGCGCCTGAGCTAACAGGGTTCTATCTTCGATTCATTACCATCACCATCATTACAGCCCTTCACAATTCCACTAGGTACTGAATATAGGCCTCCCCCAAGGAATGCCACAAAGCACTTTCCCTAGCCACCTGCATCCATTGACTTCCTGCATGTCTTACCAGGTCGTCACTCGATATAGTGAGGGGACGCCCTACACTTCGCCTGCCGGTACGAGGCTGCCACTCGAGTACCTTTTTTCACCATCGGTTGTCGGTTCTTAGAGCTATATGGCCGGTCCATTGCCGCCTTTCTTAAAGAACAAAACCACCTGCAATTCTGCTCCACGCCTCCGGAGTAGTGCAACCATGGAGGACGGAATTAAATAGCTTGAGGGCTTTAAGTACTTCCACCCGGTTTCAGAAGCTCCGCTGTAATTCCTTCCTCGCCCAAAGACTTGCCGTTTTTAAGGTGCTAGAGAGCCATTCTAATGTCGCTCAGACTGACGTCCGGGATATCATCGGAATAGTGCCGAATAAAATCTGCTCTTGGATCGTTACTCACACTTGCGTGTGGCTCCAACGATGACGTGTGCAGCTTATGATAGAACCTCTCAATCTCACTCAAAATCTCAGGTGTCCCGGAAACGATGCTGCCACATTCGGTCTTCAACTTTGTCAGTTGGCTCTGCTGGCGGACAAATCTCTGGCAAAGACTTTGAGAGCCCTGGTTCCGCTCGATCGCTTCTTCAATACGAGCTGTATTGAAGTTGCGCAAGTCCCGCCGCATGCATTTAGAGATCTGTCTGTTCAGTTGCCTGTAAGCTGTCAAATCTACTGAAGACTGCAGCTTCATCTCCAGTCTAACAGCCATGAGATTAAGAATGTCATCGGAAAGTATTTGTGTTCTTCTGCGACGGGTCTTACAGAACTTAGCTCTGACCGCATGGACAGTTTCCACAAGCTTATCATTCATATCTTCGATTAATCGAATCAAAATGCTGATGATGCGTTGTTATATCATAATTTAAAATTAAAAATTTTGTACAACCGACTTCAATATAAATTATTAAGAATTACTCAAAAACTATTAGTCAGACCTTTATCAAAGTTATACCGCACCACATGTGTAGCACCAGCTTTCTAATAAAACAAGAATCATCGAAATCGATTCACCCAGAAAAAAGTTATGAGATAACACACATAAAAAAACATACAGTCAAATTGAGTACCTCCTCCTGTTTGAAGTCGGTAGATAAAGGACTAAGATGAAATTTCTCGTTAAGTTAACCTGGTCTCTAGATCTCTACAATCACTATACGCAACACAGCAGCAACAAACTGTTATTTTACGCTGGTACACTATGCGAGCGTGGTCATTCCCCGGTCTAGCCAACACATTCGTGTTGAAGACATAAAACATCTGCAGCGTGTATTTAACGCATAACTATCAGGTGGACAGTAAGCTCGTTTATGCCTTTTAAATTATAAAAAATATTGTTTACTTGATTTTTATTTAATACGGCAACACTGCAAGTTAAGTCGGTGCGAAACTTAAGTCGTCGTTCCCCCCAATATAACAAAGACATTTCAGCTGATTAATGGGAATACCAGATGTACAACCAGAATGGCGACGGGAGGCATCATCATCATTACAGTTCATCATAAGTCCACTGCTGAACATAGGCCTCCCCCAAGGAATGCCACAAAGCACGGTATTGAGCCACCTGCATCCATCGACTTCCTGCATGTCTTACAAGGTCCTCACTCCATCTAGTGGGGGGTCGCCCTACACCTCGCCTACCGGTACAAGCTTGCCACTCGAGAACCTTTTTCGCAATCTTGCGCGTCTATTATTGCAAATATTTTCTAGGATAGGAGAGGGCTATGTTCAGACGTGAACCTTTACAACCCAATAAAGAAGAAAGAAGATACAGTAGAAATTCCTGTGGATTAGCATTTTTTAAACAATCACAACATCTTCCCGATATGAGACAAGTCCATATGAAGGAGAAGAGTTCTACTTACATCAGGGTCTTCCACATCGACGGGATTTAGATGTACGTCCGTGATTCCTCCGAGGTAGTTGAATATCATCTCTCTAATGAAGTCGTTGCATTCGCTCTCCAGATATTGATCAGCGAAGAAGTGTCCGGAACCAATGACGAATAATTTACCTGAAGAAAGAAGACTGTTGTAACTTTTGTCGTTAATATAAAGTTTAACGAGAGATTTTTAAGATCTCACAAACGGGATTTTATGAAGAAAGTTCTATCCCATGTTTAATTGGCTACATACCCCTTCAAAAAGGAACAGTAGTTCAACATATGGTTGCATCTTTCAGACTGCCTTCTCGATTATATGTGAAGTACTAGTGATATCTTCGTATTGTTAGGTCGGGGTTTTGGAATTGATTTTTGAAAAGAACTTGAGGAATGGAACCCCGTTTATTAAATTATAAGTTACAATAATATTTAGGTCTCGACTGACTGTGGCTCGCTGATGGGAACCTCTACTGTGTTCACAAACCAATAACTAGAAAACTGTGTCAGCATTCGAGGTTCTAGACCACTCAAGTGGTGTTTACTACTCAGTAATATTTCTCTGGTGGTCTGCAATACTATATACTAGGTAAGGGTAGGCTGTATAACAGTACGTAGCGTTCACATCATCCGAGTCTGTTTAAGAAGATTCATTAACTTATGCAAATTTTAATGTACTATTGAGATCATCGTCACAGCCCACACAAGTCCACTTCTGAACATAACTACGTACGTAGTACTTTTTTTTATAGGATAAGGGTGACAAAGGAGCACACAGTCCACATGATGGTAAGTGGTTGCTGCGGCCCATAGACATCTACATCTATCCACTGTTACAAATCAAAATGCAGATGCGTTGTCACCCGTGAGGACTAATATGGAATGCCTCATTTCCAGAAAAAGGGCCTCCGGCCACCTGCACTCACCAAGCGAAACGCAGAGGTAAACCTCTACTTCACGCTGGTATTCTGTAAGGTCGTGGTACCACCCCGGTTCGAGCCGGCCCATCCGTGCGACGGCAAAAGCTGCCGCGTGGCTCTACCACTGTTTATATATAGTACTATTAGTATATGTATGTTTATATATAGTACTATTAGTATATACGTAGTACTATTATTAAGTGGCGAAGCTTGCGAAGTCACTTATTGATTTCACGATGTCTGTCCGTCTGTCCCACTATTATCTCGAGAACGGTTTTGAATTTTCAAATTCTGTTTTCAGCAATCGATTACTGATCACCCAGGCATCTGAACTATTTTGAAACTGATTGCTCAACGGCAACCGTTAGAAACCGCTACAAAGCTGATTGCTTCGCCACTTTGCTATGCTGTTAGATTGCTAGGTTTATTTATTCTGTGACATAACCATGTACAGTCCATGTCAATACATAGATACATACTACGTTGCTCGCGGCATTATTGAAAAGCGATAAGTCGAATAAAAGGCGATAAAGCCATCACATAAAATGAAGATTAAATCAGGCCTCATTTATCACTTCTCAAGCAAAGTTTCTAGTACCTCCACTCTTATCAGACGTGTACAAAGCAGCAACTGGTCTTTTCACAGGGTAGCACACGTCACTGCTAGATAAGATGGCGGCTGCAGGTTTTTTCACTGTCAATGTTGCACCGTAAGGATATACGAAGGTAGGTGTCGCTGGTTCTTCTCTGTAATGTTTAGAAATAATTGTATTAACTAATCTCAGTCTTCCTTGCACACGTACGGCTAGTTTTATATCATAACACTATTAAAAAAATGGTTACCAATTTTATCGAGCAAGACAATAAGCAAATCAACTGTTTACCCAGCAAGGCATACTCTTGTAAATTGGGAAGTTTTTTCCAAAATTGCCAAGCTTTACAAGCGGGTTGGAAGCCGTGCTTCATTATAGCCTATTCAGCAGTCAATTAGGGAAAGGGTGCAGTGATAATAATTCAAGTAAAATTTGTAATGTTGTTCTTACAATCGCTCATAAAACTTAAGAATAATGCCGGACACTCATACCTACTTACATAATACGCAAATGTTTTCAAACATGAAAAAACTTGTGTGCAATGTGTGCTTAAAGAAATATTGGCATCCCACAAATAACCACCAGACATTCTAAACTATTGGCATTGGCATTCTCTTTAGGAAATGATCTGTACAGAAGTTCTTACAATTTTTCTCTACTAGGCAGCATATGCAGATTCTTGTTCACGATGCCTATATATAGGCGCATCTATAAAAAAACTGGCCAGGTCCAGAGTGAAGGTTTTACTCTAGCGAAGCGTCGTATCTGTGGTAACGTGGCAACCGTTGTTGTTTGGAGGATTTTTGAAATTAACATCCTTGGGAAAGCGTACCATATATTTGCGACGAGTTGCTTACGATGTACTTTATGTTGTAACGCACGCATATTTGCGCCATCCATTACGAGTGCATCTGGGATGATCCTCTTTCGCCTACATATACTGGGTTTTTCAACAAGAACTTTGTTTTACAATTGGGGCAACACCAAAAACATGACAGTTTTGACATTTAGTTTTTTGACCTATTCGTAGTAGATGCTTTGGCAATTGCTACAATGAATTCAATTTCGCTCGAAAATCGCATTAAAATAATTAAAATCCACTATGAAAATGGTAGTTCTGTTATAGTTACGTTTCGTAAAATTCGTGATATTTTCGGACAACATAATCGTCCTTCTGAGACCGCTATTAAGAATTTGGTCGCTAAATTTGAATCGACAGGCTCGGTACAAAATGCGCCAACACCAACGCGTGTTCGACCGGGTCGTTTAACCGAAAACATCGCAGCCGTGAGCCACAGTGTTGAAGAAGATCCAAATTTGTCAATTCCTCGACGTTCACAACAATCGGGGTTATCCAAAACCACCACATGGCGAATTTTGCGTAAGAATTTGGCTTTGAAGCCTTACAAGGTGGTTCAACTGGTGCAGGAATTGAAGCTGACCGACCATTCACATCGCCGTAGATTCGCTCAATTCATTCAGGAACAGCCCGCTGGTTTTTCTGAAAAAATCATTTTTTCAAACGAAGCCCATTTTCACTTGTCAGGGTACGTCAACAGGTAAAATTGGCGCATTTGGGCTTCTGAAAATCCTAAAGTGATTATTGAGAAGCCTTTGCATGCTCAACGTGTCACTGTATGGTGCGCTATGTGGTCTGGAGGCGTGATTGGACCGTTTTTTTTCGAAGATGAGGCTGGAAATGCGGTAACGGTCAATGGATCACGCTATCGCGAGATGTTAACATCTCAATTTTGGCCTATTATTGATGACATCGATATCACAAACATGTGGTACAGGACGGTGCCACATGTCACACAGCCAACGAAACGATCAATTTATTGCAAACCAAATTTCCCGATCGCATAATTTCACGAAATTCAGCTGTTAAATGGCCAGCCAGATCGTGTGATTTAACACCACTGGATTATTTTTTGTGGGGCTATGTTAAGGACAGAGTCTATACGGAGCCAATCGAACGCGGCCTTAAAACTCAAAATCCATGACGTGATTAACGAAATAGACCCGCCATTTTGCCAAAAAGTGATTAAAAACTTTGATGAAAGAATCGACATCTGTCAGCGTGGTCGTGGTGGACATTTGCCAGATATCATTTTTCATTCATAATTGCCAAACTTTTCTCTTCGTAATACAATAAAAATTTGAATCATCTTCATCTAAACTCTTTGTTTTATTTTGTTTTAGAAAACAAAGTTCTTGTTGAAAAACCCATTATGTATAAATGTAAAAGTATTTTGTTTCGGTGCTCGGAGCCCCAATTTAAAAAACTTTGTCCTTGGGGTTGACTGGGAGAGAATGCCAAAAGATGTCAAGTCTGCCCTTTGTAACCCTTTCAGGGTGGTAGCAATAAAGTATAAACAAATAAACTTTGTTTTAAATCTGAACGAACTTTGTTCTATAATCGTAGCACAGATCACTGAATCTCCATCAGATGTTCGGATGTTTGTCCAAAAAAAAAAGCGCTTGCACGGAGGAATACTGAGCATATAATTCGCTGATTGATTTATTCATACAATTATCGGTAACTTCAATTGCTTAGCATTTTGTCATGTTACTAATATGTTAGATTCTTTAGTTGTTTGTAAGGGAACTTACAGAAAATCATCAGACTCGGCGGTGTAGTTGGGCATCTTCATAATGTGCTTCGTGACGCCTCGGTTCAGCACGCCGTTGGAGATGTGACACTCCTTCGGATGGTAGAACTTATTGTATTTGGCACGCACCACACAGTCTTTGCATGGAAAAGATTTTGAAATTTCAAATAAAATTATACAGACAAAACGACAAATTCATAAAGAGGTTTGGTTGCCGTTTTTGAAGATACGACTTTGTACGGACGCACCCTGAGGACCGAGATTTGCAATAGAGATAGCGAAGTTGAGCTGGGATAATATTGTAGGATTATCTGAGGTCCGAAGAGAGGGGGAGAACACGGTAATTCTCGAATCCCGTAATTCACAGGGAGGGCGACCGTACGTTCCAAGATTATAATAAATTTTATTATCCATAAGGCTTTCTTAACGACGATCAACAACTTGTAAGAGGCATAATAAACTTAAATGTTATATTGCAGAAGTTGTATCAACTAGATATTCTATGCAATCAACGCTTCGTCCGCCTCGTGATCTAAATTAAATCGTTAAAAACTACAGCTCGAATTACCAAATCATTTTTATGCCAAGAAGGTAAATGATAAGCTCATGAAAACTACCATGCGGTCGGTGATAAGTTCTGCGCGACCTGTCGCAGAGGAACTGAGAAACTTTCCGATCTTAATATCTTTAGTTAGGCGACAAATTAAACTTCAAGGAAGCAACATCAACAGATATGATTGCGTACGCTCTCAACTTTACAGACAGATCTCGAAATGCATGTGACGAGACTCTTCAATGCAGCTCGTTTTGAAGAAGTGATTGACCAGCACCATGTTCCAAGGTCTTTGCTAAAGAACTGACTGCCGAAAAAAGCCAACTGTCTAAGTTGAAGACCTTCTGTGACAACATCATTTTCGGGCGACTAGAGATTTTGAAGGATATTGAGAAATGACTACCTCATATCATCCCGTGGGTGTCGTAAGAGGTGATAGAGGAAAATGAAAGGGGAAATGAGCAGCAGCACCATGCTTATTAAATTATTAATTATGTAATAATAATTTTATATTTTTTTATTTAATAATAATTTTATATTTTGTTATTATTAAAAAACTGCTGTTGCCACCCTCCTTGCTAAGCGTGGCAAATATGGTAAATAATTCCTGTCTGAGGCAATCTATGTTGGAGGTATATGTTTGGCAGGAGACTTTTGATAGGCTGGAATGATAAATTCTACGGACAGCTGCACACACCATCATCGGAACCTATTACAGTGGTATATGCCCGACGTCACCTGAGCGAAATTAGAATGGCTCTCCAACACCTAAAAATAGGCAAGACCCTGGATGTGGATAGAGTTACAGCGAAGCTTCTGAATTCGGGTGGAAAACCGTTACTTAATATTCTTTAGAAGCTGTTCGATGTCGTTCTCCATGGAGACAAAACTCTGAAGGAATAGGTACAAGTGAAAAACCACAGACCGATATCCTTTCTGAGTCGCGTATATGTGCCGTTTTCTAGTCATTTAGAAACGTCTCGCACACAAACTTAACGAGAACGGCTCTCTTTACTTGACTACTTCTAGCCTCCAGAACAAGCCGGTTTCCGAAAATAGTTAAGTACCTTAAGCAATTATATTATGTTAACCCTTCGACAAATTGTGCAAAAGACTGAATAGTTGCTTATGAGAACTATGAGAAAGTTTTAGACTACGTCAATATATGGGCGTTGCTACATTCCCTTCAGCGACATCAAACTGACTGTCGGTGTAACGAGATGCTGAAATGCTTGTACAATAAAGCTTCTATGGCTATCACAGAATAGGACAAGACTACGAAACGTTTTCGACCTACTAGATTGGTAAAGATAGGTTATAATAACATAATGGCGGGTACATCACGCAGTTTCGATGTGCAGACAATATTGTCATTATGGCAGGATCGCTGGAGGGCCTTACTACTATGTTTAATGAGCTCAATAGTGGCTGTAGATATTAGCAAAGTTGTAGGAAACACAATGCTCGAAGATGATGACAATATTAACCTAGGACAGATAGATATAGAATAGGTAAGTCTTCGGAGACCAAGAGGTCAATCAACGGTTTCATCTCGGCTAAACACAACACGTATCACGTACCTATTGCTCAACTTGACTACAAGAGTACGGAACTACTACTACGGAACTATAGTTGTAGCACGTATGGGTCGGCCCGACCAGGGAAGGACCACGCTCTCACAGAATACCAGCGTAAAATAGCAGCTTAACGCTGCTGTGTTTCGTATGGTGAGTGCAGAGAACCGGAGACCCTTTTTACTGGAAAAGAGGCATTCCATCTTAGTCCTCACGGGTGGCAACGCATTTGCATTTTGATTCTTTATTGAGGATAGATGTAGATGTCTATGGGTCACAGCTCCACTTACCATCAGGTGGACTGTTTGTTACCCCATCTTATAGAAAAAAAAAACTAAGTATTTGTTCGGGACGATGCGTGCACTGTGGTCTTTAGCCCCCTGCCCCTCTATATACTAGCTATAGACTGTTATTAATAGTGATAAACCATAACTTTACCGTTATTAACAACAATCCCATATTCTTCTAAAAAGAAATTAATGTTAGTGTTCATGCGCTCCTCGCCGCCGTCAGTCATCGCCACAAGAACTGAATCTCCTCTCTCGACCATGCTTTTAAGGCAAGCGAATTCGTCATCTGTGAACACGTTCTGCGGCCCCGGTATAACGAGTATCTTGATGTCTTGCAGAACACTAGGTGATAGCGCTTCACGATTTCTGCAATGGGTTATTTAAATGAAAACACAAACGTCGCAAAAACCAACAAATGGATGGGTATGGTTTTAATATGAAATATCTATTGGCGCCCCTTTGTAGTAAACTCGTATGCCGTGACGGCAAACGTCATGACGCTCTCTTATGAAGTCATGCCCCCTATTCAGCACCGCTCTCAATTTATATTCTGTAACTATTATTATAATTAGAATAATAAGAAAAATATATAAATTTTACTAACGAAACTCTGTTTTTTTAATTTATTTTACTCCATATTTCTTTAATGCTTTTCATTAATTATAAATGCTATCATCGACTAATGACGTTTCACATTTGCCGGGCATTCCGTGCCAGTCTACTTTTTTTTTTAATAAAATGAATGCCTTTACATATTTTTCTCTTATTTATTTCTTTATTTAAAGTCTGTAATTACTATTCTAGTATATCTAAAAGTAAAGTTACAGCCTACATACGACCTACTTCCTAGCAAAGATCTCTCTTAATTAGTTTGAGAGGATTGACTCTGGTGTGTGGTGGAATTCATATAGCCCCGAAATATTTTATTCCTCAGACATAAAGGTTTCCTCACGTCATCCTTCACCGCCGCACACTTAAAATTGCAAGTAACAAATTCATTGCACACGTACTTTGAAACTTACTGCAAGTGGTAAACTTTTAAATTACCACGGCTTCTATTTCATTTGTACCTACTTTCTCCTATTGTTGTGAAAAAACGTTTGGCGAAGGTTTATTTATAAGAATTCTAAAAACCATTCGTGTGGTTTACTTCTTTTGTTGTTGCTAGTGATTATTATTTAGTAGTAGAAGAAATTCTCTTCAGTTTAGAAGTCCATCTTGTATCAGCCATGAAATGTCTAAAAACCTATGGGACAAGTGAAGTAAACGTCTGCCTATTTAATACAGAATAAGGGTGGCAAACAAGCACACAGTCTTTTGAAGGTAAATGGCTGCTGTGGCCCATAGACATCTACATCTATCTTCGTTTGCAAATTAAAATGCAGATGCGTTGTCAGCCGTGAGGACTAAGATAGAATGACTCTTTTCCAGTAAAATGGATCTCCGGTTCTCTACAATTACCATACGAAACACAGCAGCGTTAAGTTGCTATTTTACGCTGCTATTCTGTGAGAGCGTGGTCCTTCCCCGGTCGAGCCGACCCATTCGTGCTACAACTATACTATTAATATAGCTGCAGCATGGTTCTACCACGTAAGAAGAAGTTTATTCGCACAACAGACCCCGGTGTTGTTCGTAATCATACCCACACATACGCAAGTATGCACACATAACATCCCGCTTATCTATTTCTGCTGCCAAAGAGCTCTACATCCACTTTGTGTTTGTGGTCGTTCAAGGATATAGAGCTATAGAGCCGGAATAAGTATAGTCTGTGAGACATTTCGATTAATTCTCACACGTGACAACGACTCTGTAGCCATTCCTTCATTTTCTTCTTTGAAATTTATTGCGAATGTCCATGGACTGCAGTTGCAAGAGTTTGCAGCAAATTTGTTACACTCTCGATGTCATTAGCGAGAGTAAGATCGAAAAAAAAATTTTAAAGTATTTTTTTTTTCATTCCGTTATAGTCGGAGGTCAAATCAAGCTTAATGTGATTAATGCGATTTATCAGTCACCAACCGCGCGTTTATTACAATATCAGATTTGTCGTCACAACCACCAAGACTCTATTTTATAATGACAAAGTTCCTACACACTAGCAACTGGTTCGGCTTACAGGGCTTACCTCTCCTCTTATTAAACAATAGGACATTTTTACCAAACAATTGGAAAATTTGTTGGTTTATTTTTTTAATGCGGGTATTACTTACATCATAACCTTCCACGTCGTTTTCAATTTTCGATGTAGCATCTTGTAGTTTTCATTTATTTTAAACATTTCATTCTTGGACACGTTAAATAAAATTGAATTCACGACGGACTTCATTATGATAAAATTTTTCACTTTTTAAGTAACAAAACTAAAACACCACACGTTTCGCCCCTGACTTGCAATGTTATTAAACAGTTGCTTAGGTAACCGAACACAGAACACCAAAGAGTATACATATAATATGTAGGTTGGCACTATGATTTATAGAACACTTTAAATGTGCGCAAGGTTGCCATGACCAAAAAACCATTTTTCGTGAACTAGCGACCCGCCCCGGTTTCGCCTGGGTAAGTACTATAAATGTGGCTTGATTTAGATTTTTTAAAATAATCATCAATGACCATTTATTTTATCAATTACTAGATGGCCAGGCAGACGTTGTTCTGCCCTTTCCGTAGAACCTTCCTATAAAAAATTCGCAATAAAAAAATATTGATGGTCACTTATTGAGATAAAAACAAGTTGGACCAAACTGCATACAGTTTGAAAAATTTCATTTAAATGATTTCATCAGTTTAGGAGTACATCGCGGACAAACAATGTGACACATAATTTTTATATATAAAGACTTATATAAGACTTTATACAGGCATACTTCAATTTTAATTACATGTACCTGTATTATAGTCTAGCTGTTCCCCGCGACTTCATCCGCGTGTAATTTAGGGTTTTAATGATATTGCTCAGGACCTTAATTATATTTCTCAAATATAAGTAGCCTAAGTTACTCCTTAGAACATCAGCTATCTGCCAGTGAAATTCCCGTCGAAATCGGTCCAGCCGTTTCGGAGATTAGCCGGAACAAACAGACGGACAGACCGACGGACAAAAATTTTAAAAATTGTGTTTTTGTTATAAGTACCGTATATACATTTATATGCATTTAGTAAAAAAACTGTTATTTTAACATTACAAACAGACACTTCAATTTTATTTATTTGTATAGATGTATAGATTTAAAAGTAATAAATAGGTCGAAAAAGGCTAATCCTTACAAAACAATCTGAGATGCTTGCAAGTAGAATAAAATTGAACCCACTGAACCAATTTTGGAGGAAATTGAGTTACCTAAAACAATTAAACCGTTGCGTTGGTTCCATTTTCACTGTTTTGCAATTACGAAATATGCCAAAATTTATTCTTGGACATTTTTGGCTATTACGGCTATTAAATTTTCTAGTTTAGTATGTAGGTTGTGTATATAAAGTACTTAATATTTATATAGGTATATAATTTATTTTTAAAAAAGTCCCGCTGGGTTTCTTGCTGGTTCTTCCTAGGACAGAGGGTTTTTTTTCACCACTGGGTAAAGTAAAAAATGACTTTTAATTAGAATTACTTATAATCAATACTAAATAAAAAATTATTCTATTCTATTCTATATTTTTTATTAGGATGAGGGTGACAAACGAGCAACCAAAAACGAGCAGCAAACCTGATATGTGGATGCCATGGCTTTTGATTCTCGAATAAGAATCAAAATGCAGATGCGCTGTCACTGAGGATTAAAGTGGAATGCCTCGTTTCCTCTCTTTCTTAGGCTCTATACAGGGGCGTAGCTACCGCCGTATCAGCCGTATCAGTGATACGGGGCCCCCGGGCTACAGAGGCCCCGAACGTATGTAAGCAAAATTCTAAGGACTTCTATGGGACAGGATGTTGGTTTGAATTGTTGGGGTAGTTTAATTCCTAGGAGTATTAATTATAAGTAATAACTTTTAATCAATATATAAATTCAATGCGACAGTTTTTGTTTTTTTTGTGAAAAATCTTTACCCTTCATATGGGCCCCCCCGACTAATTTTGATACAGGGCCCCTCTAAGGCACGCTACTCCATTGGCTCTATACCATACGAAACAACAGCATGAAGCTGTTATTTTACGCTGGTATTCTGTGTGAGCGTTGTCCTTACACGGTCGAGCCGACACATTCGTATGATACAACTATGATAATATAGCAGCAGCATGGTTCTACCACGTAAAAAATAATACTCGTATGCTGTTTCCGAACTAAAAGTTAGTTAGTTAAAGTTAGAGCCTATATATACGTCCCACTGCTGGGCACAGGCCTCCTCTCATTTCTGAGAGGGTTTTAGGGCAAGGAAGTGTCCGCCGCGCTGCCCCAATGCGTGTTGGCGAACTTCACATGTCTTCGAAATACTTGTTTTGCTTATTTCTCAGACACGCAGGTTTCCTCACGATGTTTTTCTTCACCGCCGAGCACGTGGTTAATCAGCACTTATAATTGCAAGTAACGATTTCATTGGTGCCGGCGGGGATCGAATCCGGGTTGTTCGCGTACTGTGAACTTTACCGCGAGCGCTAACTCCGAACTAAGTAACCAAGTAATAATTTCACATTGTTGCTTTCCTGGTGATTTGGTTAACACTGAACACAATACACCAGACATCCCACAACATTGATGCTGGTCACCGACGTGGGTTTGGGAGTTTTTGGAAACTTGGCATAGGCATCTAATATGAATACATAGGAGGACATGCCTTGTTGTGGCGGTGTAAGATATCATCGTACAACTCTGTGTAAAAAGTATCGGGAATATGTCAATAAAAAGACCCGCGTAAAAGAGGTCGTTCTAATTTTTTTACTGCATGTTGGTAGCACTGTACTGATTTAGCGCGCAAAGTTTGAGCGGGATCTGTCATTTAATTTGTTTTAAACTACACTTTTTGTTGGTCATAGTTTCGAGTTCTCGACGATTTTTACAATGGAAAATATTGTTGAACAAAGAGTGTGCCTTAAATTTTGTGTTTCGAATGATATTTCATGTGGTGAATCACTAAAAATGTTGCGAAATACCTACGGCGAATCGTGTATATCGAAAACAAGGGCTTATGAATGGTATAAGGCTTTTAAAGAAGGCCGAGAAGTAGTAGTAGACTTGCCTCGTTCTGGTAGAACTTCAACCGCTACGACCAAAGAAAACATCGACAAAATCAAGAAGCTAGTGCTCGAAAATCGACGTATGAGTCTGAGAGAGTTGGCTAGTGAGGTGAACATATCTTTTAAGTCCGTCCACAACATTCTCATTGACATTTTAGGCATGAAACGCGTCGCCGCTCGACTAGTTCCAAAAGAGCTCAATTTTGTTCAAAGAGCGCAGCGAAAGCATATCGCTGAAGACATGGTTTCCCGAGCTTCTACGGATCCGACCTTTATGAAACGTATAATAACTGGCGACGAGACATGGGTTTATGAGTACGACATGCAAACAAGCCAACAGTCTTCAGAATGGCGTCTCGAAAACGAGCCGAAACCCAAAAAACCGCGGCAAAGTCGCTCCAAAATCAAGGTGATGCTGACAGTTTTTTTTGACTACCGTGGTGTGGTTCACTCCGAATTCCTTCCAAAGAGAGAAACAGTGAATAAAGAATATTATTTAGGCGTCATGAAGCGTTTGCGTGAGAGTATCCGCCGAAAACGTCCAGATTTGTGGCAACACAACTCATGGATGCTGCACCATGATAATGCACCATCACACACAGCCATTATAGTGAAAGAGTTTTTAGCGAAAAATTCAACAAAAGTTCTCGACCAAGCACCGTATTCACCTGATATGGCTCCGTCTGACTTTTTTTTATTTCCCAAGTTAAAATTACCACTTCGAGGAAAACGTTTTGAGTCGATAGAAGCCATAAAAAAAAATTCGCTGAATGAGCTAAAGGCCATACCGCAAATAGCCTATGAAAAATGTATGGAAGACTGGGTGAAGCGTTGGAGATGTTGTATTGCAAGCGATGGGGCCTACTTTGAAGGCGATAAAATAAATTTAGATGAATAATTTGTATTTTTTGTTTTATTGACAAATTCCCGATATTTAGTACACAGAATGTATATCGTACCATGTGTATCATAAGAGTCGACTACGTGTGTCCCAAACAGATCCTATAGCTTCCGCTAGATTGCGGTATAAGCATAAGTTTTACACCAGACGTTATATACCCAGACCGACGACGGGAAGCGTCAAAGCGAAACGTTTGCTACGTTCATCAGCCTTTCAAACGTGACTATTCTTTTTAACCTCTGACACAAAAAGAGGGGTGTTATATGTAAGTTTGACCGCTGTGTGTCTGTCTGTATGCCTGTGGCACCGTATCTCTTAAACGGGTGAACCGATTTGGGTGCGGTTATTTTTATTTAAAAACAGGTTTTCTAGCGGTGATTCTTAGACATGTCTTATCAAAATCGGTTCAGTCCTTTCAAGGTCATCAGCAGTTTTCCTTTCAGGGCGTTTTTAAAATTTTCAGTTTAAGTTTTGTTTAAAATAAACGGTACCTCCACACTAGGTTTTGCTCCTGTACCGTGGAGACTATTAACTTATATAAATTGCACAAGGACAAATATCCAGACCCGGAACAATTACTTGTAGGCCTTAAAAGCTTATTCCGTGCGGGATTCGAACTCGCGGCTCTCAGCGACATAACTCATTGCTAAGCCACTGCGGCGCGGAGTTGTCAAATATTAAGGCCAGTCTTCCTTATGACGGGCGAGAAACATGTACAGTGGTACCAAGGTACAGCCCTACGAGAATGAGTTGATTGTACCGTTAACGACCCAACACTATTTATCGACGGCCTTGGGATCTTTCTGTCCTATAGATTAATATATATTTAAATCTGCTAATACGCTCCCATCGCGGTTGCGTTCTGCAGGTTGCCGCCGTGTTTGGCATTACAGGTCGGCGGATTGGGACGGAATGCGGTCTTTCTTTGCATCCTACCCATGGGGGCAGGTTTGCTACTCGCCGGATGATCCCAGCGCTGTTGCTGACTCTGTCACTGATGTGGTGCTACAGGGAATGGAACTATTCATTCCATCATCTGTGATACCCATCGGAGGCAGATCTCAGCCTTGGTTTGGTTGCTCCTGTAAGACTGCATTACGCAGTAAGCAGGAGTGTTATCAAGCCTGGGCTGCGGCTTCGGTGACTCGGGATGTAAACACCAGCACACTTAAAAAGAAGTATAACTTCGCCTCCAGGTCCTTCAAAAAAGTTATTGCCAATGCAAAGTCAGAGCACGTAGGCAGAATTGGCG